GGCTCACTCATTTTGATCGTTCGTCTTTGTTATTCTTCTTGTTCCCAGAGGTTATCAGTTTATCAAAGAACATCTTCGTATGCAGGATGTTAAATGTTACTGGAAAAAGCTATTGAAGAATTACGCCAAACTGATGCTATGGAAACCGACACGTGACCCAGCATTCCAAGAGATAAAGCCATAGACATTGTTATTTAGCGACAAAAGTAGACTTTTAAAGAATTGTCTTAGTTTAGTTAGTCTTTTTCAATTGCACTATTTATTGGACGCACACCGTATGGCAAAAAACGATAAGCACTCAATAAACACCAAGTATTCCTATTTGAATATAGGAAAAGCTTAAAGATGATAAGAGTTTGACTATGAAAATGTGCATTACTTTGTTTTATAGGCGCGTAACATCCATGTCGAACTCGTGTGCCCACAATATCGAAAAACTAATATTGATTAAATATTATCACGCCACTTTTAAAAGAAAGCATAAAAGCTTCCTGTCTAGATCTCAAAATGTTTGCCGTGCGGTCATTTTGTTTCGGTTGAGCGAATCTCGGTCAGGTCAACGCAACAAATCGACTGTTGGCCTGAAATGAACTGTACAGGAACTACAGCATTGGACAGATTGAAATAGAACAACAAACCCCAATCCCCTCGAAATCAAGGATAAAGCCCCGTGAAATTCAAAATGCACTATTTTCCCACCCTTGATTTGGGAGAAGGGGGGTGGGGACGGGGGGGGGGGGGGGAAATTTTCCTTTTTTTTGTCGAAGTTTGTTGTCCTGGAAGTTTTTTCTGGTTTCCAGACCACTTTAGGCCCTTTAATCCTCAGTTTTTTCCGTTTCGGAGGTTTTTATTCCCACCAACGGAAGTATTGTGCTGGAAATAGAGTTTAACGATTATGAGTATGATGATGTGAGATAACGGTTATGTTGATGATGTGTATGATAATGATGATGAGCACGAGAATGATGATTTGCGATCATGATGATGATGTGGATGTTATAATGATAATGATGATGATGATGATGATGGTGGTGGTGATGACGACGAGGATGAGGATGATGGTGGTGGTGTTGGTGATGACGACAAGGGTGATGATGATGATGGTAGTGATGGTGATGACGAGGATGATGATAGTGATGATGATGATGATGATGATGACGACGAGGATGAGGATTATGTTGATGGTGGTGGTCGTGCTGAAAACGACGATGAAAAGGATGGTGGTGGTGGTGGTGGTGACGGCAAGGATGACGATGGTGATGGTGGTGACGACGAAGATGGTGGTTGTGATGACGATGAGGATGATGGTGGTGGTGGCGATGACGACGAGGAAGAGGATGGTGGTGGTCTTGATGACGATGGGGATGATGTTGATGGTGGTGGTAGTGATGACAACTAGGATGAGGATGGTGGTGGTGGTGGTGATGACGACGAGGATGACTATGATGATGAAGCTTATGACGAGTTACCTACGTTACTGGGTAATGATGATGAGAATGATGACAAATGATGGTGAAGCTTTTGAGCTAGAGTGACGATGAAGGTGAAGATAATGATGTGTATGAGGATGAAAATGACTTTGAGAGGGATAACACGCGAGCAAGCAAAGTATTTGTATCCAGCAAATGGCCACCACGCGTTCCGGGCTTCCTGCGAGAGGCGCTTTTCGCGCGTGTTTGCCAATCAAAATCTCCAGAACCCTCTCTTCTAAAAAATATTAATGAACACAAACGTTGGGTAAAGAGGGTTGGAGAAGAAGCAAATATATTTTGCCAAGTTACTTGTTCCTTTTGAAGTTAAACTGAGTATCTTAATTACACCTAAGCACAACTAGATGAGCATCAAGCCTCGCCTATTAAGTATGGTGCATATTCATGGTACTTGAAAAATGCAAGTACAAAGTCCTTAGTTAATAAACTCTTTGGCCATTTCTTACAAGAACTTAATAGGTAGATATCTATGTTTCGTTACTCTGTTAACTGTCGTTAACTACGCGGTACAGAGAACGTATCTGATAGGGGCGTAGCCAGCACATAGACCTATAGACCCGGACCTGCAAATGTTTGGCTTGATAACTCTACCGCTTGTAATAAATTATGCGTTGTTGAAGTGAGCTGAAAAGTTTAAGAGCTGAAAGTGTTGGTGAGATCAGTGCGCACTAGTTATGCGTGCAATTTTCAGATGTGTGGAAATGAAAGACAGCAAGGCCTGCAACCAGTCGAAAAGCTGTCTACGCCCCTGTCTGATGACTAGAATTTAGGGTTAAACGACAAGAAATCAAGCCATTTCGAAGTTGACCAACTGAATGGCTGGATTTTTAGTGAGGCCCCGTTTTTATGGAGAAACGTTGACGGATGGAAGGGTCACTCGCCTACCCGAGATACCCTGCTGGGAGAGCCAACTTTTCATGCATTTCCTTACTGCGCTTTTCAAAAACACGCGAACTCTAAAGTTGAAATGCCGCCTTCACAATTGCGTTTTACACTGCCTTCAATCATAATTACGATCACACGCAACAAACCTTGAAACACTGGAACACACAAAACGGATCGAATTCCACCAATCACAAATCACAAACCATGACCTTTTGAACTCGTTGAAGTAAACTTCCGTTTCCTAAGAGGTCCGCTAAGATGATTGACGGCAGCGTAGAACGCAAACGTCAGTTGGCTTTTGAACTTCAGAATTTGTGTTTTTGAAAAGCGCAGTAACAGACTTGGCGGCCGTTTACATGAGAAACAAAAAAGCTGGCTCGGCTAGGGTCACCCTCCCAGCAGGGTTAACGTTTCTCCATATAAACAGTATGCCTCGCACAGCCGGGTCAACACGGTCAAGGCATGACAATCAGAGCATGCGCGACTTAAATTGACTCGATAGGGAGGGTGAACCTTCTACCCAAGACAGGTTTTCTTCACATAATCGGGGCCTTAAAGACACCATAATATAGCTTAATGAGCAATCCTCGTATCCACTATGATGTTTATATAGAGCAGGTAGCACATTCAAGGAGGAGTTCAACTTCTCCACGTAAAGGTCATTTCTTGCGAAACACGTAGTGTGCCTGATAGGTTCTTCATGTATACACTTTGAAATTAAGTTATCCACATGCAATCCTCTATTACTTAGAGAGTTCTTGGTGAAAAACTTTTACAAAAAAATACAATCTCCATCGTCAATGGACATCGAAATATTCCCAGGAATATTCGGCTTGAACTCTGCTAATCCTGGGAGAGCAACTGTTTATAATAAAAATTGTGGAAACTGGTTAACGTTCTTTCGGCCAAACTGTACAGAGAAGGTCTTTAAGATAGCGTGTAACATTCACGCTATTCAGTCGTTGTGACCTTAATGGGCGACATAAAATAGGTCCTCGTCTGAAAGTAAACGGGTAGTTGTTGTCTATGACAAACTCATCAATGCGGAAAACTGCTCTGAACAACCTTAAAGGCCATCGTTGAGCAAAAATAGCTTCACTGAACTTCATACTGGCCACAGTCATCGTTGGATTGTAAAGACGAAACAATTGGTTACTGTTGTCTTAGCCACACTGTACAGGCAATATCTCAAGATTAACTGGGAATCCACATTTACAATCGTTCATCACGACCCCAATGTTAATCAAAAATAAGTCTCTTGCCTCGTTCCCAGGCTCCTCTATCCTCTTCTGAAAACGAGGCTGACAAAACGAGTAGTCTTTTATAACATCCACCAGACTGTATAAGAGAGTAGGTCTGTGTTGTCCAGTCAGCTCAAAGTCATATTGTGATTAAGGACACTAAACGACATCTTTAAGCCAGGGATGATCAAGGCACTGAGCTGCTGTGGATCGCTTTTCTGTGTTAAAGTCCAGCATAGGAAGCAAGAATGCTGAAAATTCCATAGCATCCTGCTCAGGCCATTCATACTTCTCGCGTAGAACGTCATATAAGCCCCTACAGCGACAAAAAAAATGATTGACATATTACTGACAAGACTTGTGGAAAGAACGAGACACATCAGACGACTTACATAGAAGTGTTTTTACTTCATTGTCGCGAAGAGCGAACTTGACACTGTCTCTAAGCCGGTTGAAGTTCATAACCGAAGTTTCCAAACCGGTTTCGTCATGGATAAAAAAGATTTAATTTGACCGTATTACTGCACTTACCAGGGTCGTAGCTTGGAAATGTGCTTCAACTCCCCTGTTTAACAAGAAAAAAAGAATTCTTTAACAATTTCATTCCTAATAACGGCCGAAGAACATTTAAAAAAAATTTCTTGTTAAAAAATCCTGAGAAAAAATAGTACTATAGCAGATGTTCTGGCAAAAAGGTTTCACTTAAATGGCAAGACTCAAGGATTTCGTCCACAGATATAAAAGTTAAAGTGACAGACAAGAGTTAATTATTATATACAGTAACTCCACAGTGTAATGGGAAAGAAGTTATAAATACTAAGCTAATTTACGCATTTGTTTAATGTAGCTTAACAATAATAAGGCAAAGCTTATTGCCTGAAATTGCGAGTCTGGGCAACCCGCGCGAATCTCCACTGAAGATTTGTAGAGCTGGTGTTGGTTTACAGTTCTCTCATTAAGGTCGGAGCGTTTTGCGACCACTTTGTTTTCGCGTACTTCCTGTCTAAATGTTTTTCCCAAAACCCTCACTTCCTCTGGAAGTCAGTCAGTTTCAGCTAGGTTTGTTGTTCCTTTCTTCTGTCTGACACATTGTTCTTAACACGATGGTTTCATTGAGGAAACGCAGGCGCGAATCTAGGATAAATAGTGACCGATTTTCTAACGAGCGCCAAAGGCGGGAACAAGCTTCTAGGGATGTCCGGGGGCATGCTCAACCGGGTTTTTAGATTTTATCTACCAAAGTCCCCTTGCCTTGGGTTCTGAATGTGATGACGGCGGCGTGACTGCTGTTTGAAAGTCAGGGCATAACTGACTGTGTAAAGTAGACTAGATAGCGACAAATGATTTTCCAGCTGAAAATCTCATAGCGTGTCTGATGCCCGGGAGTTAAAAGAAAGAAACATTTGTCCCAATTATTCTCTAGATTTCAACTTGAAACGCATTTTTTATTGTCAAAAATATGTTTATTATGAAAAACTGACCAATTTCCGTAGAACGGTGGGAACCGGTGTGGATCCGCGCCTAGGAGGGGTTGCCTTTCATAGGATCGGCAAAGCAATGATGACGAGGAAGATAATGATTATGGTGATGATAATGATGATGATAATGATGACGATGACGATGACGTTCGTGGGGGAGGGGAGGGGCAGTTTTTCAGAGGATTGGCCAATAAATAGTGACGACGATGACAATGACTATGAAAGTGGTGGGGGAGGGGTAGGGGATGACTCATCACCACAGGATTGGCATACACACCGTTCTCACTCGACTCACAAACCTTACAGGCACCTCCCGGGACGCTCATCTATTGGAAATGTACTGAGATCAACTTTTCAATTAGCTACTCTAGCTACCAACCTTTCTTGTTGAAAAAATCCCTGGAATATTTCCCTGAGAGGGCTATATGCCTCGGCACTTTCCCAAGAAGTTCAATGACGTGAGCAAGATGATCTAACAAGGAAAAACGACGATCACAAATATTATTGAAAACGGCACTCCGACAGGCTATTGCAAAACAAAAACAAGTTACCTTCATCCCTTGAATAGTCTTCTCCCGAATGAGGCTCGAACAGAAAGTCACCAGTCGCTAATTCAAAAGCCTGCGATACAAAACTACGTGGGTCAGTAGGTTGTTCAACGAATGCGCGTCTGAGCATGTGTTTTCGACAAAACAAAATAACGAGCAACAAAACCGATTTCATTTCATTTCATTTCAGTCCGTGACACAGCTCTTGAGGTATTCTCATCGCGAAGTTGCAAATTCTGATTGGAATAGTTTGCCTAATTCCATTTCAGAAGCTTCTTAAAAATAATATGGGCTATGATTTGAGGCGATGCAGTTTTTAATCTCAATTCTTTCCAGCTGATCTGGATATATTGTTAAAAGGTACTTCCCCCACCAGGTCAAATTTAATATATTTTTAAATGCTTATGCCCAAGATTTTCAACCGGATTTTTAAAGTTAAATGACACTGGTTTACAGGGTTCGTACCCTTTTTTGAACAAAAAAAATTCAAGTAATATATCAAACATGAGATGCAGTGTTTCATCACCAGATGAAACACCGAGAAGAGAGTTGAAAATACGACGCGCAGCGGAGTATTTTCATCTGGTGATGAAACACTGTGTCGAATGTTTGATATTTCTTCTCAAACAAAATCATTTTTGAAGGAGAAATTAAGGATGCAAAAATGAGCAGTTTTTCATCTGATATCCAAACACTCATTAAACATTAATTTTCTTTGAATTTTCTTTATGAATTTAATATTAATGAGTTTGAGAAGGACTTTTCAAGGCCTTTCAAGGGCACATTTCCCATTGCTCAAGGACTCCATTCAGTGCGAAAAACAGCCTTGAGTTTATGTCTTTTTTACTTCTTCCACAACATGAGTAATTCTATCCTGAATGTCTTTCTGTGTTTGCTCCTTTCTCTTTGGAGTTCTTCTTAGTTAGCATTAAAATTCAAGGACTTTCCAGCACCAACTGCAATTTTCAAGGACTTTAAAGCCCTTCAACATTTATTTTAAAATTCAAGGACTTTCAAGGTGCGTGCAAAACCTGGGTCTATATGTATTACTGAAATTAGATTGAAACATTATGAATGTTGTCATATGCTGAAGACCATATTTAACTCACCATACATGCTGTACTCCACATATCAGCGGCGGGACCATACGCTGCACCTATTAACACTTCCAGGCTACGGTATTGTCTTGTCTGGATCTCCTCTGTAAAATGGTGATGCTAAAGCAGGATTAATAGAAACCATTAGATTCTAAGACGAGGAAGATTACGAGAATGAGATTTTNGCGTCTGAGCATGTGTTTTCGACAAAACAAAATAACGAGCAACAAAACCGATTTCATTTCATTTCATTTCAGTCCGTGACACAGCTCTTGAGGTATTCTCATCGCGAAGTTGCAAATTCTGATTGGAATAGTTTGCCTAATTCCATTTCAGAAGCTTCTTAAAAATAATATGGGCTATGATTTGAGGCGATGCAGTTTTTAATCTCAATTCTTTCCAGCTGATCTGGATATATTGTTAAAAGGTACTTCCCCCACCAGGTCAAATTTAATATATTTTTAAATGCTTATGCCCAAGATTTTCAACCGGATTTTTAAAGTTAAATGACACTGGTTTACAGGGTTCGTACCCTTTTTTGAACAAAAAAAATTCAAGTAATATATCAAACATGAGATGCAGTGTTTCATCACCAGATGAAACACCGAGAAGAGAGTTGAAAATACGACGCGCAGCGGAGTATTTTCATCTGGTGATGAAACACTGTGTCGAATGTTTGATATTTCTTCTCAAACAAAATCATTTTTGAAGGAGAAATTAAGGATGCAAAAATGAGCAGTTTTTCATCTGATATCCAAACACTCATTAAACATTAATTTTCTTTGAATTTTCTTTATGAATTTAATATTAATGAGTTTGAGAAGGACTTTTCAAGGCCTTTCAAGGGCACATTTCCCATTGCTCAAGGACTCCATTCAGTGCGAAAAACAGCCTTGAGTTTATGTCTTTTTTACTTCTTCCACAACATGAGTAATTCTATCCTGAATGTCTTTCTGTGTTTGCTCCTTTCTCTTTGGAGTTCTTCTTAGTTAGCATTAAAATTCAAGGACTTTCCAGCACCAACTGCAATTTTCAAGGACTTTAAAGCCCTTCAACATTTATTTTAAAATTCAAGGACTTTCAAGGTGCGTGCAAAACCTGGGTCTATATGTATTACTGAAATTAGATTGAAACATTATGAATGTTGTCATATGCTGAAGACCATATTTAACTCACCATACATGCTGTACTCCACATATCAGCGGCGGGACCATACGCTGCACCTATTAACACTTCCAGGCTACGGTATTGTCTTGTCTGGATCTCCTCTGTAAAATGGTGATGCTAAAGCAGGATTAATAGAAACCATTAGATTCTAAGACGAGGAAGATTACGAGAATGAGATTTTCTCAATACTTATCAGTGGTCGCGCGTGAACTAGCGTCATTTTGGCGCGAAAACGTAAAAGCCTTCGTCATTCAACCACGAATTTTAGCGACAATATCAATCGGGAGTGGGCTAAACCTCCTTAAATCAAAATAACCATGTTAACTTTTCTGGTGAAAAAACGTAAAATGAAGCATTTCGGGGTGTCCATTTTTTGAGAAAACCGTATTTCCTCGAATAAGCGCCCTCCCACCAAAAAGGCCCTCCCCCTTAGGCCATAATTTCAAACAAAAAGCCCTCTCCTCCCCGAAAAAGCGTCCCGATGCCAGCACTAGAAAAAAAAAAAAAGAGTTTGACGAGAGAAAAGAAGATCCCCTCGCTCGCTATTTATCCGGTTTCGCTACTCGTCGAATTCGCTACGTCCTAGTTCGCAACAAATTCACTACATATTACTTTCTGTAAACCATTAAAATTATTCCCTTAATCGTTCTAGAAAAAGAATCTTTTAGTATATTTCTCGTTCTTTTAAGCTTGTCCCTCCGAGAGTGCAAGTTTTGGACTTTGCAAATAGGCAGCGAGACGAATATGAAGGAAGCGAACTCGAACGTAGCGAATTTGAAAAGTAGAGAGACCGTTGTGATACGTTTATCCTGCTCACATCTTTTTGGGCTGTGCCAACAATGTGAACGCCTACAACAGACTAGGAGAGATGGGGAGGAGGGTCTAAGATAAGAGAAGGGGCTGTTTTTCTGGCCAGTTTACATGACTTACCACCCAACATGCATTTCCGAGATCAGCGATTTTCACCCTGACAGAGTCATCACTGTGATCAGCTTCAGTGTGGTTTTCTTCTACACAGTTTTCTTCTGCTGTCTCTGAAAAGTGTGGGGGATATGCAACAAAAGTCAAAAAAGAGAGAGGAGTTTGGTGTTTACAATAAAAAATTCATCCATTTTTGAAGTCAAAGGTTTCAGGTAAGCTTTATCCATGAACAGCTAATTTGTGAACACTTAAAATAATTATCTCAAATGCCAGCTTCCAGTACACAGTTTTCTTCCTTATCAATTCATCCACGGTACATGTTATGTAGCAATTGTTTTCTCCTGGTTTGACATTAAATTTTTTAATGGACTGCCTTGACCCTTCAGCTACAGTGAAGACACCTCCATTCAGGGGGACAGAAAATTTGGTCCAAGAAAATGTTGACATAATCTTTGTATCTGTTACCTCTACTGAAGGGGCACCTCTATTCAGGGGAAAGGGACACTTTTTATGGGACCTGAAACACGGAATTAACCTCCATCTAGGGGACACCTCAGCACTCAAAATATGACTGACCACAAAAAGCAAAAGTTTAAGTGTCCACTAGTTGCAATGAGACAGCTTTTACAACATGAACTATATCACTTAAATTGATGTACCGCACTTGTGGCAATTCAACACACAACATCGCAGAGATAAGTCAATCATTATCTTTTATACATTCACTAGTTGCTTGAAATAAACTGCAGCAGATTCCGAGGCAGAATGGAAGAAAAATATATTTTGTTTGTTGGAGGCCAACCCTCATTGAGGGGACACGTGGCTTGGTCCCGAGGGTGTCACCTGAATAGAGGTTTCACTGTATACCCATAACGACTTGCTTTAAAAGCACTAGTGCAAGGTATCCAGACTCTTGATTTTCCTACCATTTACCCAACTCCCACTGTGTCTAGATAATCAAGGTTCGTCAGTCACAAATAATATTTAATGTTATTGACCTTTCTGTTCTGGTATTGACTCCATATCAACACTCCTACTGTCCGTGTCTTCTACGTCTCCATTACAGAGCGGAGCGCCTACCGAGATCCGAAAAAATGCAATCAAACACAACATTTGCCATACTTTGTAGCACCCTGTGCGTAGAGCGTCCTTTTGTCAGATCAGTTTAGGTGTCTGGGAAACTGACCACCCACCCCACCCCTAACCCATGTTTCTGCCTTTGAGTCATTTGTCAGTGAGAAACATGGGTTAGGGGTGGGGTGGGTAGGCAGTTTCCTAGAAACCTAAACTGGTCCGTTTTGGCTTCTCGATTGAGGAGGAGCAAAGGAGGCTCAGCTTGAATAGTGTCAGGCCTTTGACATTGCCACAGCCGAAACCTTTGGACCAGTCAATCCTGTTTTTCCCTTCAAACTGGTTTTCGAGTGTGAGCATCAATTAATTGATAAACCGATGTTGAACCAAAAGCGCACCGCTATTAGGCCTGAGTTTGAAACTGTAACCTAGCGACAGGAAACAAAGGTTTTCTTCAGCGGGTTGTAAAGGTCAAGTGTGGAGGATGAAATTGCTAGATTTCCATCCATTTTGGTTGTTTTGTCATAATTATGATTGGGCCTTTGGCTCATGTGTGCCTTTACCTTTTACCTCTGGACGTGCATTCACTCATGGTTGTCACTAAGATTTCAATTTGCCAGGTAAATACAACAAGTAGGCGGGGAATCAAACGGCTCTGGATTTCTTTTGGTTCTATTTTTCTTCTATTTTCCAATAAAAGTAGCCGGGGGCCACTCCCTTAGTAGCTGGGGAAAATCCCCGGCCCCTGGCTCTTAATGACAACCCTGATTCATTAATTTATTTTTTATTTATATTTGTGAGGAAACAAAAGAGCCCACCTGACTCAAGCTGTTCCTCTGTTGTCGACATAGCATCATTTGATGCTGTCTCACCCATTTCTTGTAGAGTCTGACTACTAAGCTCTTCAGACAGTTCAACTGATTCAGTATCAATGTGATTTTCTACAGTCTTTTCCTGTGAACAGTTGGAAAGTGCTTCACTTGGAGCTTGTTCACTTGATTTTTGTTCACATTCAGTGGTATTTTTGGTGCAGTTTTCTGCGTTATTGCTACAATCTTCTGTCTCCTTGTCTGAATCCTCTTCGTTTTCTTCCAGTATTCCTTGCTCGATTTCATCCTGCTGCTGTTGCTGCTTTTCAATTTGTTTTTTGAGTTTCTTCTTCATTTTCTTCTTCTTGTTCTTTGATATTTTAGTTGATGTGCATTGCTTCAAATTAAAAAAAAATAACAGATCTATGGTCAGAGTGTACGATATTATTGTTTAGATAATACAAGACCAAATCAGCGGAGCCTCTTATTTACCGTGTATAAATAAATGCTTTTATAAATTATCATTATCATTATTACCATTATTTTTTTCTTAATATCCAAGATTCAAAAAATTCTTCATTAAAATCTTATAAAAATCTTTTAAAAACTACACACAAAACTTCGGTAAAATATTCATAAAAATAAAACGTCCACATTCATTATTATATAAATACAAATTTCTGGCAAAACCCCTTCACAATTCAGAATTCTAAGATACTAATTAAGAACTAAATATATGTCCACGATAGAGAACTATTTACAATTGTGAATAATTTAAGAGTGGGAAAAGGAAAATCAAGCATTACTAAGAATAAAAACTATCAAAAATCAAGGCCTAAAATTATGAGTGCAGATGTAGACCAGCTACAGGGTAAGTGAAGTCTTCTGAGACCTCACGTGATTTGAATGCATATCTAGAACCTCTGACGCATATTATTACCATTATTACTACCATTATTATTATTATTATTATTATTAATTATTATCAAAATTTTTGTTATTCAATGATTATTGGACATGATACATATTTGTATTTGGTGAATTAAGCTCATTCAACCAGCGTGCTTGTTTTGTTCTGTAATTTTTCTTCACGGCTACTGTGACAGGCTGCTTAAAAAGTTACAGATTTAAACATAATGATTAAAGAATAAATACATCAATTTGCAAAAAATAGTGTCTAGGCCAATCAAGTTAATTATAATAACAAAAAATGAGGCTGAGTGTGATATGAAGAACATTGCAAATTGAGGTGGTTGTATCTAAGTAGCTCACAAACCTGCATTACTGATGGTGGAGCTGAGCTTACTAAAAGGAAAAAAGAGGTAAGATCAGAAAGGGGTTAAAACCTGTCGTTCACGTTCAATGCTCATGAATATTCATTTTTCTGAGTACCATATTTGGAAACTCTCACTATGGCCTCAAGAAAGGAATAGGTTTAACTTTGCACATGCATCACCCTTTTTTCTACATTTCTTTGCCATCAATGCACGACTACAGCATGAAAGTGCCTATTTCATGTTTTGTGGAGGACGTAAACACAAGACAATGACTTTCTTTTTCTTTTCCTGAACTCCAAAACAATCATTAGAATTCCTGAACTCCAGAAAAATTTGCTAACATTTGACTATCTGAATGAGATGGGATAAGTTTGAAGCAGTGCCACTTTTAAATGGTGTTTACATAAGCTCCCTATTTTTTCAGCAGGGACAAGAACATGGAGTAAAATTACGTCTCATCATTTACTACCTTTGATAGGTCAGTTATCCTTTCTTCTAGCACCAAAAATGGTAATTGTCAAAAAGAATATTCACGAACATTGGACAAAGCAAACATATGACAGTTACGTGTTTCAGCCCCTTATGAGTTTCTGGTAAGATCCAATTACGCAGTAAATTATAATATTCCAGAGCTGGAAACAAGACCATTGTTACCACTCAGGGAACAAGAGTGAAAACGTGTTTTGAGATAACATGTCTTAAACAACTTGAGACCACCTAAGATTTTCATGGGTAATCAAAACAATAACATTTTTTTTTCACATTTTACAGGAAACATCAAACTTCATATTGAACTATTTTAGAACAACCCTGATACTAAGCTACCTACCAGTAATTTTAAAAAATTCTTGATTGTTATTAGCAATGGGACTTGATTATTATTTTGAACTTACTTAAAGCTGGTGAGTACACTCCTGATGCTCTTGCTGTTGCTGCCTCAGCAGCGAGTTGCTGAATATGCTTTTCACTCACACACAGTAAGATATTCTCAGGTTTAATATCAGTGTGTATTATTTTACACTTGGTGTGCAAGTAGTCAAGTCCCTGTAATGTCTGCATAAAGATAAGTATTAATTAGGAACCTATTACTACCCTTGACTTTTTTCTATGAATATGACACAAACAACTGGGGAAACCCATAATCTTTGTGGAGTGTAACAGTTTCACATTAACAAGGTTTGGGTATATCGAGGTTATTTTCCATGATATTTTACTATTTCTGGGATAAACAAAATAGCTTACTGTACCAAGAACTTCATTAAACAGAGGTTTGTTATACAGTAAACACCCCCATATAAGAACAAAAAATTAATGTATTAAGAACAGCAGGCTGAAATTTGGCCAATAAAGCCCCATTTTTATAAGAACAAGATCAGCCTGAAAATTGTAACATGTTCTTATAAAATGGAAAAAGTGTCATAATTACAAAACATGTAAGTTTATGTTTGCTGTCAGATAACTTCATTTGTTAATATAATCAAATTACAGAATAATTATTTATTTTATTTTCCTAAAAATTAATATGCTAAACATGTTTTGGATAGTATTACTAAATAAAAATTTAAGAACATTTTAAGAAATTTTGATAAGAACTCAATCAGCCTGACCTCCGAAATTGTGTGTTCTTATATGCAGGTGTTTACTGTATTGAGGTTCTACTGTATTATTTCACCCTGGGCCAAGTGGTGCTAATATTCTTACACAGGGACCCTTAAAATTCCTTTTTAAACCTTCCACTCTCAGAAGCTAATGTCAAAATTTGAGAAATATTCCAAAATTCGTTTGTAAAATATTAAAAAAACAAATGGTATCACATGGAAGTGCGATGAGTGAGGTCACACCAGACCACGTATTTGATTAGTGAAGCTTAACTGTTAGTACTAAATTTATCTATGTAATTAATAGCCACATTTAAGCAGGAGCTGGAGGTTGAGCCTCTACATGTGCACTTGAACCTAAATCAGTTTGCAAAACAATAAAGTTACTACATACCTGTTTTATAATACTCTTGACTTGCATCACAGGTATTCCTCTATAATTGGACTTTATTATTAATTTTAACAAGTTATGACCTAACACTTCAAAAACCATACATATATCTGTAACACAAATGTCAAGGTATTATCATTATTTTGATCACACGTAGTAAAACTATACACAATACCTATAAAACAGAACATGGTAAGAGCTAGTGGTGGGCCGATGATCGATTATAATCGAAAGTTGATTGAAAAGTTCAAGCGACGCGACAATCGATTATTCTTTTTTTATAATCGATTGTCGCGGAAAAATTAAAAATTTATTGGTGACAAATAAAAGTATTAAAATCAATAAAAATGTATGTTTATGTGAGTTGTCTTTTTCGTGGACTTCTAACTTCTAAGTCATAACAGCAGATATAATCTAAGATTGAAGGTGTTTACCTTTGCGTGCCCTGCGCGCTGTGTTGTTGTCACTTCAAATACGCCACACTTATTTGAAAGATGTGGCATGCTAAGCTGCTTTGCATTTCGTAAACAACTGAACCAAAACATAAATTACAAGCTTACTGTTTTGCGTTTGTAGTATCACTACTATCACTAGGGAATGAAAGGTATTAAGAAACAACATCGCAGCGATTTCCAGGGTCCTCTCTCAGACCTGCCTCCCTAACATGTTGCTGACGAGTCTAACATGGCGGCTGAAATGGCCGAGTTGGAGATCTGTCGTTATCCTGGAAACGCCAGGTCAAACGTGCGGGAATATTTTGGTTTTTATCAACTGAAGGAAGGGCCCAAAACAAAGGAAAACTTGGATATGACGAAGGTAATCTGTAGGCTCTGCAGAACGAAATACGCCAACAAAGGTTTGTGGCACGTGTGTTTTNAGCTTACTGTTTCGCGTTTGTAGTATCACTACTATCACTAGCGAATGAAAGGTATTAAGAAACAACATCGCAGCGATTTCCAGGGTCCTCTCTCAGACCTGCCTCCCTTACATGTTGCTGACGAGTCTAACATGGCGGCTGAAATGGCCGAGTTGGAGATCTGTCGTTATCCTGGAAACGCCAGGTCAAACGTGCGGGAATATTTTGGTTTTTATCAACTGAAGGAAGGGCCCAAAACAAAGGAAAACTTGGATATGACGAAGGTAATCTGTAGGCTCTGCAGAACGAAATACGCCAACAAAGGTTTGTGGCACGTGTGTTTTGTTGATTTCGTGTCAGTCTCACTTGAACTGCTGCAATGTAATCTTGGAATGCTTACTGGTACATTTTTCCGATTATAATCGACGATCGATTGATTGGAGCAATCCGATTATTTCCGATGATCGATTGTGAAATCTCAACCGATTCCCACCACTAGTAAGAGCTCTGTAAGTGTAAACAAGTTAGCAGTGCAAAAGAGGCACATGTATTACAATAATAATAATAATACATAATAATAGTAATAATAATAATAATAATAATTAACAATTATTGGACGAGGTTGAGAAAAATGTCGTGATTTGTCCATGGTGAGCAGAGACACTGACAAATCACGATATTTTGCGATAACCGAGTTCAATAATTGTTTCATCATTTGATCACCAAGTTTGCTTTTTTAATGAATATCCTTGGGAAGCGAAGCGATCTGCCATTTTCACACAAGAGCGATCGCAAGAAGGAGAAAAGCACGGTTTCCTTTTATCTGCAGCCAAACACTGTTGGACGGCATTGCACATGATCGAGCAGACCATTATTTGTAGGCAGTTATTTGCAGGTCGCCTGGTGGGCTCTCGGCCAATGAAAAGAAAGAAAAATTTGCTTTGAATGATAATAATAATAAATTTAGCCTTATCCCTATGGGAGTAAATAGTTAAATACAGTTGAACCTCCATTAAGCGGTCAGTATTCAAATAAGTCCTGAAATAATTTGTACAAAAGAATGGGAAATTAAACCTCTATCATGCGGCAACCTCTGTTAAGTGGAGTGGACACAGCCACCTTTTAGCCATCCCGATGAGAGTTTTCCCATTATTTTCACCTCTATTAAGTGGCTATTAATTAAGCGCTTGATACACTGAGTTTGGCTTCATTTCAAGAATATGATGAAGGAAAATACAGTCCAAAATTGAAGTTGATGACCCATTGTGGACCAGGCCCCGGTTGTTCAAACATTGTTTAGCGCTATTCACCAGATAAATCATTATCTAGTGGACAAGTATCAGGGAAACCAATTGCGTTATCTACTGGATAGAGATTTATCCAGTGGATAGCGTTACCAGCCTTTGGAACAACTGCGGCCAGTAATACTCCTCCCGTCATGCATTTGTTTTAAAATAAAGTGATTTTTCTGCTGATTTCAGACAAACCTCTATAGAGTGGCCAACCTGCATCAGGTAGTCACTTGCCCATACCCCGAGGGTAGCCGTTTAATGGAGGTTTGACTGTAATAAATATTTATTATTATTATTATTATTATCATTATTATTCTAATTAATAATCATTACTATCACTATCACTATCATTACTAATATTGTTATTATAAATATTTTTACTATTTTTATTATCATTACTTTATTTATTAGATTATCAAACCAATTCAAATGCATGTACAAATGGACAGGCTGGTAGGTGGTAGAAGGATGAATATATGAATCATTAGGCCTGAATTTCAGCTTGTCCTTTTGGCAAGCAGCTCTCACATTTTACCATTCTGGAGCCAATTCTTGCTTGTCTTAGTTAATCATTTCGTTAGAGGATGACTTTCCTGGACCCTCGCCCATTGGGCAAACAAGGTTTATAAGTCACAAGAAATTTGACTGCTTGTCCCAGAAAACTGAATGGGACCTTTTTTAAGCCCATCCACGAATAGCTTCAAAATCATAGGTCTATGTTCTTTAAGCTTTAAGGTGAGAAGTGAATACATGAAAAAACTGTTTGAGGATACGAGAGCCATTTATTCCTACAATTTTGAAATCATCAGTAAGCTGTACAACATGTTTATACCCAGTATTTCAGCCTGAAAATTGTAACATGTTCTTATAAAATGGAAAAAGTGTCATAATTACAAAACATGTAAGTTTATGTTTGCTGTCAGATAACTTCATTTGTTAATATAATCAAATTACAGAATAATTATTTATTTTATTTTCCTAAAAATTAATATGCTAAACATGTTTTGGATAGTATTACTAAATAAAAATTTAAGAACATTTTAAGAAATTTTGATAAGAACTCAATCAGCCTGACCTCCGAAATTGTGTGTTCTTATATGCAGGTGTTTACTGTATTGAGGTTCTACTGTATTATTTCACCCTGGGCCAAGTGGTGCTAATATTCTTACACAGGGACCCTTAAAATTCCTTTTTAAACCTTCCACTCTCAGAAGCTAATGTCAAAATTTGAGAAATATTCCAAAATTCGTTTGTAAAATATTAAAAAAACAAATGGTATCACATGGAAGTGCGATGAGTGAGGTCACACCAGACCACGTATTTGATTAGTGAAGCTTAACTGTTAGTACTAAATTTATCTATGTAATTAATAGCCACATTTAAGCAGGAGCTGGAGGTTGAGCCTCTACATGTGCACTTGAACCTAAATCAGTTTGCAAAACAATAAAGTTACTACATACCTGTTTTATAATACTCTTGACTTGCATCACAGGTATTCCTCTATAATTGGACTTTATTATTAATTTTAACAAGTTATGACCTAACACTTCAAAAACCATACATATATCTGTAACACAAATGTCAAGGTATTATCATTATTTTGATCACACGTAGTAAAACTATACACAATACCTATAAAACAGAACATGGTAAGAGCTAGTGGTGGGCCGATGATCGATTATAATCGAAAGTTGATTGAAAAGTTCAAGCGACGCGACAATCGATTATTCTTTTTTTATAATCGATTGTCGCGGAAAAATTAAAAATTTATTGGTGACAAATAAAAGTATTAAAATCAATAAAAATGTATGTTTATGTGAGTTGTCTTTTTCGTGGACTTCTAACTTCTAAGTCATAACAGCAGATATAATCTAAGATTGAAGGTGTTTACCTTTGCGTGCCCTGCGCGCTGTGTTGTTGTCACTTCAAATACGCCACACTTATTTGAAAGATGTGGCATGCTAAGCTGCTTTGCATTTCGTAAACAACTGAACCAAAACATAAATTACAAGCTTACTGTTTTGCGTTTGTAGTATCACTACTATCACTAGGGAATGAAAGGTATTAAGAAACAACATCGCAGCGATTTCCAGGGTCCTCTCTCAGACCTGCCTCCCTAACATGTTGCTGACGAGTCTAACATGGCGGCTGAAATGGCCGAGTTGGAGATCTGTCGTTATCCTGGAAACGCCAGGTCAAACGTGCGGGAATATTTTGGTTTTTATCAACTGAAGGAAGGGCCCAAAACAA